TTATATGCTTATACCACAGATTCATATATGTCTGCTCTAATTCTTCTTAAAATTGCTATTTGAAAAAAACTCGTTGATTATTAACTAACAGGTACTCTATAATTTAAGATTATAAACCTGTATTTTAATATTGTTTTGTGCTAATATAATTATAATATATCATTGCAACATAATTTTGATCGTTAATGTGGATGGACATAGGTTTTACCACTGTATTGCAGAAGAATAATTTAAGTCCTTTGTAGCTTTCTTCTATATAACCAAACGTCCAGTGAAAGCGATGCTATATTTACATAATTAACCACCCACTATAAATTTAAAACATTTTTTCATTCATATCTCAGTTCTATCTTATACCACGATATATTTCATCGATCAATACAGTCATTAATTCAAATCGTTATTGGTATGTAAGGACTCATTGTTTATAATTGGCTAATTGTAGTTTAATTTGTTAAGCTGTCAAATAATCTATACCCTTGTTTATATTCTGTACTAATATATAAAATCCTTAAGCGACTCACTGATTAATCACGATCCTGCTCAAACCACTCTCAACGTAAGAAGCTCAATTTTGGCATACAGGTTGATTCTAGGGTGTAGAGGTTGGATAAGAAGGGGGTCCCCCAGTTCCAAGGGGGTGAAACCACCCCTCAAACATTACAATATTTTTTATTTAAAAAACGGTCAAGTTTGGTTGTGATTTTTGTTGATTTTTTAAAAACGTATACAGGGTGCTTCGAAAAATCTGGTAATTGATTAATCACGATCCTGCTTAAAGCTCTTGACGTAAAAAGCTAGTTTTGGAAAACGGATTGACTTTAGGGTGTAGAGGTTCGATAAGAAGGGATTTTTTGAAACTCGAATTCTAAGGGAGTGAAACCACCCCTCAAATATTAGAATATTGTTTTGTAACGTTTTTAGTTCGTTACATATATTTTTTTATATATGATTTATATGATGTCTGGCGTATCGTCATCGGATTCCGTATCGTTCAGGCCTGATAATTTATTTGACGCGTAATTTTTACGTTCTCTAGTCGCCAACCCTACTATCGTTTCACTGTTCTGTGGAGGCGCGCGCTGTCAAGATCCTTGTTATATGCCAAGGCGCCTCTCTGCGTTTTAACCTCACTTTGTTTTTGGCCACGGTTGCAAATCCTGCTTTTAGAAATGGCAATTTAAATCTTGCTGTATAATTTGAATCAGCTGCTATTTCAAACCAACAGGTAAAGACGAGATATTATCCTTTTAGATTCGATATTATTACTGCATATTTTTAGGGTAGAGTTTTGGATGTCCCAACCTAACTTGTATTTGTATTTTGCTGGCACGTTGGCGTCCCTTTTCTTTTGTCCTTCAGAATGTCACATGGAAGAAAGGACATGTTCTTTATTATTTAGTGAGCCCTCGGAAGTAATTCGAGGTAGGTTCATTTTGTTTATTAGACCTTGTTTGATTTTAAACAAGAGTTTCATATTTTTAGGGTCCAAGGTACGGGTAGTGTCTTACGTACGGACATTATCTTATGTACGGATGTCCTGTGGACGAGTGTCCCCAGTAAGAATGATTTTTTCTTACATATAAGTGCCACAGCGTGGATGTAGCTTGAGTCCCATGCTGCTTCGTTCCCAGCTATAAGCTAGTTAGTTACGGCTGTATCAATTCATGGTGTCCTCATTCTGGCCCCTTTGGTTGTGTTGGATGGCCGAGTACAGAGATGCGAGACCACCTCACGCTGCTACTGTTTGAAGCAAGGTTACATAAAGAACAGCTAAGTGTAGATTTAGGTTTTAGTTTACATTTATCACCTTTTCAGTCTTAAACTGTAACGTACATCTCAAGTAATATCGTACAGACTATGTTTAGTGGTTAGATTGTTAAGAACATTTATGTCGATTTAGTATTTAAAATATGATTTAGATCTTAGGTTTCATTACATTATGTCTTGTAATGGTATTACTTTTATAGATATTTAGTACAACTCTTAACACCACTTTCTTTGACATATAACCACTATAATAATTATTAAAATGGTACAATGCTATTTACCATCACAGTCCATCTTGAATAAATATAGTCATTAGTTTTAAGTAATATACAACTGTGTTTTCTTTCTCTGTACATGCCTGGCGCCCAATATCTATATTTTTTGTTTATTGTTATTGATTAGTTTTCTCTCTAGTGAGGTACTTTATCCACGACTGCTCTCCGATGAAAAGCTGCCGTTCGCAGTGGTAATGTTTATAAAAAACGCTACAGTTTTTTTAAAAACCGGTAAGTTTTTCGGAAAAAACTTAAACACGTATATTTTATTTTGTTGTTTTCCATATTTTAAGATTTTTTAAAAATGTATACAGGGTGTTTCATAAAATATGACCATTGAGTAATCACGATTCTGCTTCTTGACGTTTAAAACTGATTTTGGCAAACGGATTGACTGTGGGGTGTAGAGATTCGATAAGGAGAGGTTTCTCGGATCTCAAATTCCAAGAGGGTGAAAACGCCCCTCAAATATTACAATATTTGTTATTTAAAAAACGGTTAGTCTTTCGGGAAAACGCTTGGACACGCATAATTTATTTTGTTTTTTTACATACTTTGAATTTTTTTAAAAAATCATACAGGGTGTTTCAAAAAGTTGAGTAATTGATTAACCACGATTCTGCTTAAACAGCTTGACGTTTAAAGCTGATTTTGGCAAACGGATTGACTGTGGGGTGTAGAGGTTCGATAAGGAGAGGTTTCTCGAATCTCAAATTTCAAGAGGGTGAAAACGCCCCTCAAATATTACAATATTTGTTATTTAAAAAACGGTTAGTCTTTCGGGAAAACGCTTGGACACGCATAATTTATTTTGTTTCTTTACATATTTTGAAATTTTTTAAAAAATCATACAGGGTGTTTCAAAAAGTTGGGTAATTGATTAACCACGATTCTGCTTAAACTGCTTGACGTAAAAAGCTTATTTTTGGCAAACGGATTTTTCGAAAGTCAAATTCCAACGAGAAGAAACTACCCCTCAAATATTACCAAGTTATATAATGATATCGCCATATTGTTTTTTCTCATGCTGACATAAATGTGAGAAATTTTTACCCAGTTTGTATGTTAATGGAAATTCTTGCTTTGATTCATCATCACCACTAGAAATGATTAATTCGACGCGACCGAAGTCGCGGGTACACGCTAGTATACCTATAAGCTTGTAGGAGTGAAGGTTGGAATAGAAACAAAATCGTCCAAATATTCATTTGAGTTTGGGTGTAAATCTGAGCTGTTTCTACATATATCGACGAACAAAACAAAATATCCGAAAAATTATGTTTCTTAGATTGTTTAACATTAGACATTTTCATTGTAATATCCGGATTTTTTTGTCCGCAAAATGATACTACGTTAATCAAAAGAAGGACAAAAAAATTTACGAATAAAATTAACTTCCATAAAGTGCACATAATCATAACAAAATAAAGACAAAAAGACCAATCATTACCTATGGAACACTAGTATGGAAGTGGTATTTAAGGAGACCAGCAGAAAAAGATTCACAAAAGTTAAGCGATTAGCACTATTAGAAGCTCTAGAGTGGAGCAAAGAACACAGCGCAAGCTGCGCTAAAAGCATTTCTGGGCAATCAATCAACTGGCTCGTGAAGGATTTCGCCTCCCACGGTGCACGGTGCCCTAAGATTAAGGGAATCATGATTTTGAAGAAAAGATAATGATTCGCATCCCGACAAGAGAAGAATGGGAAAGCAACCAAGTAATGAATATTCAAGAGATAGCAGTCTACATAGATGCTTTCGTGACTTCAGGAGGCACAGGTATAGGCATTTACTCAGAGATACTAGACATTTTCTACAAGCAGGAATTTACGCTATAAAGGAAGCGGCCAGTATACGAGTAAAATTCACTAATAGACCAATAGGAGATATCGTGATATACTCTGACAGCTTGGGCGCTTTAAGAAGCATCACTATGCAATCAGTGAGATCAAAAAGCAATGTGGTTGACAACCCAGAAGCGGACAGATCTGCCAAAGAGGGATCCAGGGCAGAGGCCGTGGCAGATGACTCACCACCCACCACCCACTACTTGTGACGATCAATACACTGAAGAGACGTGTCAACACCATGAGGACTGCGCTACAGCTCGAAGACTGTGGCCACTGGTAGATAGCAAAAAGACAAAACAACTGCTAGAGCACAAAAAGAACCTAGTACTCATAAAATTATAACGTCGTCACTGGAAACTGCCCCACGGTAGTGAACCTCCTGAGATTAAAGATTTCCAACGACTATTACTGCAGAGAATGCGTAGAGGAAAAAAACAATGGATCATCTGCTGTGCGATTGTCCGGCACTGAAAAACCGACGATTTAAAACTTTAGTGCAGGGTTTTTCGGAGGGACTAGAGTCGCCCTGGACGCCTTAAAAACCGAGTGGTAAAACAGTTTTCATATATTATGTATTTTAGTTATTGTTTTAGAATCTTAAGATTTCTTTGAAACTTTACACCTGAACCAATTTTTCTTCAACATATTTAAAAAAACTGCATAAACATGAATATTTCACTTCACTGGCAACGAATTCTCAGTGTGCGGTATAAAGTAGTCATACAACACTGACGACTTGAAGTAAATAATGTTCAAGTCCCAAAAACTCGGATTTTCATGTTTTATTTGTAAAATGTTCGAAGTTCCTTAATCAACAACATATACAAAGCGCTAAGTACCACAGCTATTAAATTGTATTGAAAAAAGTTCTCAAAAGGGACGCCCTTTCTAATACATTGGTTATATAACAAAAATGTTGTTTATCTCGAAATAATGATTTTGGTACTTGGAACATTATTTACTTCAAATCTATATACCTTAACTATATATTTAAAGAAATATTTGATTTACAACTCAATTTTGATGTAATCAACTTAAAAAGTCTCACAATTGCCAAAAAATCACTATACTATAAGAAGTTGATTAAAAAATAGTCATACTTACGATAGACAGCAGCCAATAATTATGTAGACAGGACGCCCAACATCCCAAAATTCCTGCTGTTGCGAGAGACAATCCCAAAAGAGCTAATCCTATAGCTACATAATATAACATGGGATGAGGCAAGTCAGACAAAGGTCCAGCTACCAGCAACTTTGAAAGTAAGATTCGATCGGAGTCAAATAGGACCAACATGCCACCAGTAACCAGTGTGAATCCGCATCCCTAGAAAAAAATAAACTGAATTTAATGATAGCATTATAAAAACATAGTATGATATAAAATTTAATAAACATCAGAATTGCAATACAAACGTTTTGAAGCCAGTCAATCTCTGATTGTTAAAAATCTAAAACCAGCATTATTTTTAAGCTACTAAATCAAACTAAATACCAAAGTTGATTAAAGTGTGTGCTTCCCATTAGTTTATGTTAAAATGAAGAGTCTATTTATAGTAAAGTAAGTATAGACCATCTAAAGTATAATATACCTAATATAGTTTTGATTTCAGAACAGTTCTTGTATTTGTAATATTTTTTTTAAGGAAGGTTAAAAAATATAATTTTTTTATTTATTAATATCTCTGAGATTATCGAAATATATTTACTCATATTTTAGGATGATGTAGAGTGATCTGAAAGGAAGCCAAAAAATGCAATAATATACAGGGTGTTCCATTTTAAAAAAAATCATCCCGATCCACTCACACACCACTTTTGAGCAACCCTATAGAAGTTAAAATAGTTTTCTGAAATACATCCTAGTACATAATTTAGGTTTGCACTTAAACAAAATTTCCAAGTTTTTTATTCTAGGAGCTACAGATGACCGACGCACTATTGCCGGACCCTGTATAAAATACAGTGATATGTAGCAATTATTATTTTATCATTTGAAATAACATATATCTAGGTACATATGCTGCTATCTTGCATTTTAATTATAATAAAACAGTAAAAATCGATTTTGGTAGTAAAAACAATTTTAAAGTGACATGCTATAGTTAGATAAAGGGTCAATGTGCATTGAAAGGTAATCTATTATGCATCGTGTTTTGATAATATAAATCAATTGAAAATGCTTGTTAACATTATATTACCGTAGTTTTTTCTTTGTTATACATTTGTTTAATCAGTGGTGTATATTCTGTTGAATTTTGTATTCTGATTAATTTATTAATGATATTTATTAATTAAATTGAATCGAATTTAATTATTAAATGACTTTATATTTAACTAGAGTGTACCAGCGACTTCGTTCGCATCGAATTACTCATTTGTAATGGTGATGATAAAGCAAAGCAAGAATTTCCATTAACATACAAACTGGATAAAAATTTTCTCACATTTATGTCAGCATGAGAAAAAACAATATGGCGATATTATTATATAACTTGGTAATATTTGAAGGGTAGTTTCATCTCGTTGGAATTTGACTTTCGAAAAATCCCTTTGCCAAAAATAAGCTTTTTACGTCAAGCAGTTTAAGCAGAATCGTGGTTAAGAAATTACCCAACTTTTTGTAACACCCTGTATGATTTTTTAAAAAATTTCAAAATATGTAAAAAACCAAATAAATTATGCTTGTCCAAGCGTTTTCCAGAAAGACTAATCGTTTAATAAATAACAAATATTGTAATATTTGAGCGGCGTTTTCACCCTCTTGGAATTTGAGATTCGAGAAACCCCTCCTTATCGAACCTCTACACCCCACAGTCAATCCGTTTGCCAAAAATCAGCTTTAAACGTCAAGCAGTTTAAGCAGAATCGTGATTACTCAATGGCCATATTTTATGAAACACCCTGTATAAATTTATAAAAAATCTTAAAATATGTAAAACAACAAAATAAAATATACGTTTTTAAGAGTTTTTCCGAAAAACTCACCGGTTTTTAAATAAAAAAATATTTTAATATTTGAGGGATAGTTTCACCCCCGTAGAATGCGAGTCTTGAAAAATCCCTTCTTATCGAACCTCTACACCCTAAAGTCAATCCGTTTTCCAAAAATCAGCCTTTTACGTCAAGCGCTTTAAGCAGGATCGTGATTAATCAATGACCAGATTTTTCTAAACACCCTGTATACATTTTTAAAAAATATTAAAATATGTAAAAGAACAAAATAAAATATACGTGTTTAAGCGTTTTTTCGGAAACTTGACCGTTTTTTAAATAAAAAATATTGTAATATTTGAGGGGCGATTTCACCCCCTTGAAACTGGAATTTCGAAAAATCCTTTCTTATCGAACCTCTACACCCTAAAATCAACCTGTATGCCAAAATTGAGTTTCTTACGTTGAGTGGTTTGAGGATCGTGATTAATCAGTATGTCAGTCACTTTTCACAGTCACAGGATTTTATATATTAGTATAGATTATGTTGTGCATAACATTGTATAAATCTTCAGCATCTTGAAAATACTCGTGTGATTTTCACTGAACTTTAAAACATCATTTGCATTTTAATACAAATGGATATAAAAAAGCAATAATAGTATCTTTAATGAAGAAATCTTAATAAGTAAAAAAAAGACAAATTCTCATTTAACTAAAGATACAATTTTAAATACTATTCCTAACTGCCTTAAAGTTGATATAGGCAATATTTATTTACGATCAGATTTAAAATTTGTTAATGTCAAGTAATGTCTTAAATAAAGAACAGTTCGCAAATCTAATATACCGGGTGCGTCTCAAAAGTGGCTCACCCCTATAACTTTTTAATTTTTTCAGATAAAAAAAACAAGATTTGGTATGTTAGTATATGACATAAATTAGTATTGATTGACGAATTCAATTGTTTTTGGTCACTTCTTGTTTCACCGGAAATTACTTTCTACTTTATCCGATAGAAAATGACACTTTGAATAGAATAGACAACTTTTGACATTTTTGCCTAAAAAACAATCGTATTTTAAATTTCAATCTAGAGTGCCATGGCTGTGTATACTGTATGTTTACTTATATATTACTAATTTTTAATCAAGGAGCCTTGGAAAAATAGATTTGATCGTCTAATGTTTTTCGTTTCTTGTCCTGGCCGGTTAAAAGATGCCCAAATCGTATTTTTAATCATATCTCAATTTTTCCAAACGGAACAAGGGTGGCTCGTTAACATATTATTTGGAAAAAGCATTTTTTACGATTAATTTGGTACCACACACTTGGTATTTCGAGTCAAAGTGTTTCCAGCAGAGGACGGCCCCTTATTGTGAAAAAAAAGGATCAAGAAAACCCCTTACAAGAGCTAAGGCATTAATCTCCGTTAATGCTAGCTATAGCTCTTGTAAAGTTTGTGGTGAAATAGGACGACGGCAAACAGCTCTATTAAGTTTATCGCACAAATGTTCGATAGGATTGAGGTCGGGACTACAAGACTACAAGGAGGCCATTCCAATCTTTGAAGTCCAACCTCATACAGGTACTCGTTAACTACTCGTACTCCTAACTCGTTACCCTGCGCAACGTGGGGCCCGGCATTATCATGCATCAGTATAAACATAAACTGGTTTCCAATCAAAGGAGCAAATGGAACGACAACTTTTTGGAGGACATCCTCAATATAACGGTAGTCTTTGAGATCTCCATTTTCAACAAATTCAGCATTGCAAAAATATTTATAAAAATGTGTAGCTCATAAAAGACTAGAGATAATAGGATAATTAAAAAAAATAAATATTAGAAAAACATCTGAGATTGCAGGAAAGCGTTTTTTATCCAAAACGCCCGTCCCATTTTTCCCCCCACAGAGTGTTTTGAATTTATTGCCAAAAACGATGTTTTGATTTACCCAGGTATAAACCTAACCTAACCTAACCGAAATATTATAAGCTACTAAAATAATAAAAAATAATGCCAACAAATGTATCTACAAACTAATACCATAATCATAAACATCGGATTACAAATTCAAAAGCTATGAAACATCAAACTTAGTCAAAATTTTAGGGTGGCGGAATTTTGTAGAGTTTTCTCATTAAATATCTATTTTAGGTATAGGAAGTGCTCAATAAAATGAAAAAATTCAACAAAGCTCTCAAGATTATGATACAAAATACAGGGTGTTCCATTAAAAAAATATCAAACAAGATTGCAAATTTTGGTAGACCGAATTTTGAAGAACACACACTATTATCCAGTATTTCCTATTAAAAAAAAATAAAATTCTTCGGTTTAGAATTTTGAGAGGGCTTTAAATAAGCAGTAAATTTAGTTTAAAAACGGTTATATTTCGATAATCACTCGGGATAGTATAAGATATTATGGTATTTTTTGAATTTAAATTTAATGGCAAATCCACTGAGCTAATAAATATACAGTATCCCTAACTAAACGTTCTCTAACCCAGTGTAAGTACATATCAATGTAAAACCTCTGACGAGTTACAGTATTCCATAGAGTCGATACAGTATTCCATTTAAAATATACAACTTTAGTTTGAAAATATGTTTGAATCACCCTGTATATTGACAAAAATATTTTCAAAACCTGCGTTACCATTGCCTTAAAAAAAAGCTAAAACTAAATAAGACAATTATCTGTACAGGGTGAATCTTAAATAAGTGCAAATATTTTCAAGGCTGGTAGATCTCGATAAAATAATTTACCGTTTTTCAAAAAAGTCCAAAATAACTGATTAGGTTTTCAAAAAAAAAACCACTGGATCTTTACTGGATTTTCTTTCTTGTAAATTTAATCTACTTTGTTGTCATAGTATCAACAAATTATGTTTTTTAACTAAAAACTAAAAAAAATTTTTTTTCGCGAAAAAAGCTTCATAATCGTGTTTCTGGAGTCTAAATATATTACCCGTAAAAATATTAGCACTTATTTGAGACTCACACTGTATGTACATATTCTTGAAATACACTAAGTTAAAATAATTAAAAGTTTGCTTCACCTGCGTTACCGTAGATGGAGCTAAAAATTAATAAAATAATTAATTCAGAAATCTTTTTTGATACTTTTAATAGATAATTCAGGACAAACTTCCATTACTGTAGTTTTATTAATTCTCTCGGTAATTCTCCATACAGAATCAATTTCCTATACCTGTTAACAACTTTACAGTAAACCAAACATTTTTGTCCCGTGAATAATTTGTGCCACATAGATGGTACTTATTGTTAACAAAAAAAAATCTAGATTATCTAATTTACAGTTATACATAGAAGTAATTTAGTATAATATTATATTATTTACGCTAACTCGCACAGTTTAGTAAATATGGTTTATTGCTTTTTGTCGTTGAGAATTTTGTCATTGACAATTTTGTTCTGTCTTTTCTTTGGTGATTGGTGATTTTTTATCACTTTCTCCAACAATAGTTGCCTCAATTCCGGTATATTTGGCGGCTCACCCATTATCTTTTAATTTTAATAATGGTAATTTATTTGTAAATACCGATTTATTAGTCAATCTTTAGAAAATAAAACAAATAATTTTTTTTTCTATATTAATAATATTTATATCCCGCTTAAGATCAAATGTTCAATTTAATTTTAAATAAATATTGTAATTTCAACGGTAGACGATTAAGAATAGTAATTGGATTTTTTTTTATTTTTAGGTAAATGAGAATTTGTTTTTATATATTTATATATTTTTTATACCGTGTGCGTCTCAAAAGTGGATCACCCCTATAACTTTGTTATTTTTTCAGATAAAAAAATGAGATTTGGTATGTTAGTAGATGACATAAATTATGACTGATTGGCCTATTCAATTGTTTTTGGTCACTTACTGTTTCACCGGAAATGACCACAACTTTTGATTTTTAAATGGCACCCTCTGTAATATTTCTAGTTTATTTGATAGAAAATGACACTTTGAATAGATAGAATGACATATCATATGTCAACTTTTGACATTTTTGCATATGGTTTATTTGAAATTATAAGATGTGGTTTATAACGAAAATTTGACTCGAAATACCAAGTGTGTGGTACCAAATTAATCGTAAAAAATGCTTTTTCCAAATAATATGTTAACGAGCCACCCTTGTTCCGTTTGGAAAAATTGAGATACGATTAAAAATACGATTTGGGCATCTTTTAACCGGCCAGGACAAGACACGAAAAACATTAGATGATCAAATCTATTTCTCCAAGGCTCAGATCTCAAGCTAGAATCAGATCTCAAGCAAGAGTCAAAGCTATAGATCAAGAAAGAATAACTGCCCTTATTCATTCGATATGACGAAGACCTGGAGCTGTTATTGCTACGATATACGCTATTAAAATTACTATAAAATTATTCTTTTTGTCAATAAAAGAATCTCTGAAATCAATACTTTACTTAAAAATGTGTAGCTCATAAAAGAATAGAGATAATGGGAAAATTCAAAAAATGAAATGTTGGGAATACATCTAAGATTACAGGAAAGTGTTTTTTTGTCCAAAATGCCCGTCTCATTTTTTCCAGAGGGGGTTTTGAATTTATTGCAAAAACAATGTTTTGATTTACTCCGGTATAAACCCATCTAACCGAAGAATATAAGCCATTAAAATAATAAAAAATAATGGCAATAAATTTATCTTCACACTGATACTATAATCATAAAAATCGGATTACAAAATAAAAAGTTATAAAACATCAAACTTAGTCAAATTTTTAGGGTGGCCGAATTTTATATTATAAGAGAACATTTGACTTTCGCTCTTTCCCAGAAGAATATGTCAATGGTCGATATATTATTTTTTCATTAACTTAGCGATCATTATTTGTTTGGAAATGATAGTAGTGATGGAAAATATGAAATAAAATCTCTTCTTTAAATTGACATTGTCTTTAATTTTGAAATTTTGCATAATGTATGAATCCCTGACGTTCTATCAAGTTCACACTTGATAACGGTCAAGACGGTCAACTAATATATCTCACCGAAAAGTTGTGGAAAAAATCAGAATTAAAGTCAATGTCAGTTTAAGAAGAAATTTTATTTCATATCTATATCGTTAGTTTACCGAAATGTAAAAAATATTATACAGGGACAGGGTGAGTTTCCTACGATGTTCTCTATGGGTATCTCGGAGGCTACTGGAGATAGAGACTCAGTTAAATGGGGAAAAGATTGCAGTTTTGTGGGGTCATAAATATGCGTCTTTCAGATTTTTGAAAAAATTCATGGCTTACTAGATATTTCGAAAAAAAAAATTTCGGCTATTTTAAAAATGGTCTCTAATTCCATTATAATCTATTTTAGACAAAAAGTTTTCAGATAAAAGTTGTAGATAATCACATCCTTAATAAGATTGTGTTCTCCGTTTCTTTCTAAAGCCTGTCATTTTTGACATATGACACAAACTTATGTTTTTTTAAATAGAAACCATAGTTGGCCGTGACTTCATAAAAAGCGCAATTTTTTAAGCTTTTCAGCGATATAAGCTATAATATGTTTTTTTTCGAAAAATTACTGAGTTATAGTCAATTCTTATCTTTCTTGACTAATTTCACTTAGTTGGCAATGTTGGTATGGTATTCTTATTATGCTACTTATTTAATTATTATAATTTATAACTTATAAAAGGGCAGAATATTTTATTCAACACGTCTTTACAATTTACATTACACAAACTAAAACTTAAAAAAATAATATCACTATATACACTTTAAGTTATTTTAGAAAATATTCAAAAAATATACCGCATAAAAAATCTAAAATAGATAGGTTAGGTGATCGAGGAGGTCCATACAATTGGTCTACCTCTTCCTATCTTTCAGTTTAAATAATTATGATATAAATAATTTTTAACATTTTTTTCATTATGGGGGTGTGTCATACCCAACCATAGTGATGAAAGTCATGTTGGAACCGCTTTATTGATGACTTTTCTAACATGTCTTAAAAACCGTTCTCTAAAAAGCGTATGTAACGTATCCTCGAAAATGTAGGGCCAAGAAAAGTTGAAATAATAATCCTACACGCTTTTTTTCATTTGAAAAATTCATATTGACAATTTTTGGTTATTTTAATTTACAAAGTTTGGATGTGACAGTTTGAAATTTCTGGGAGCAACGACGATTGAACTTCTTTCCATGGCTAACTAAGTGAAATTGTTTAAAAATGATAAGAACTGGCTATTACTCAGTAATTTTTCGGAAAAAACCTATTATAGTTTATATCACTGAAAATCTTAAAAAATGGCGCTTTTTATGAAGTCATGGCCAACTATGGCTTCCATTTAAAAAACATAAGTTTGTGTCATATGTCAAAAATGACAGACTTTAGAAAAAAAAGTAGAACACAATCTCATTAAGGATGTGATTATCTACAACTTTTATCTGAAAACTTTTTGTCTAAAATAGATTATAATGGAATTAGAGACCATTTTTAAAATAGCCAAAATTTGTTTTGTTCGAAATATCTTGTAAGCTATGAACTTTTTCAAAAATCTGAAAGGCGCATATTTATGACCCGACAAAACTACAATTCTTTCCCCATTTAACCGACTCTCTATCTCCAGTAGTTTCCGAGATACCCATAGAGAGCATAGAAAACTCACCCTGTATATTAATCCAACAAAATTGGTTGGCTAATGTTATCATCATGAGCTGGTCATTGATTTTTAAATAACTCTACTGCTTATAGTATTTACTCTAATGTAATATTTATTTATATAAACAAAAACAGAGCTTGATTTGTCAATATATCAATAAAATATAAAACATTAACAAAAACTTATATTTCGCATTTTGTTTTTTATTTTTTTGTTTACATGGCAGTCATACCTGTAATTATTTTACGAATTAATTAAAATCATTAAAAAATCGGTGTTCATATCTCAGACAGACAATAGACAAAAACCGGAAAACACTTATTAACACAACATTCCTCTAAACTCTGACCCCATCTCGCCATCTCACTTACCAACAACAAAAAATTGGTCAGCGCCAAGATCACTTTGCTCCCGACCAACGATATCATCGCCATCTCGATAACACCGAAACACTACCAGCAACACTACTCGCACGACACTAACTGACACATCTCTCCTGACTATATTGTTTGTTATTCAGGACCCACGCACTTTTTGCCGTTGTTTTAAATCGCGCTTAATTTCAACCGGGCATAGGTCTGGTCAGGTGGACGAACAATGCGTGAGTAAGTACGTCCTTAGTTGAAAATCAACAAGGCGCTTGATGAAATAAAGAGTATTCTACTGTAGTAGACAAAGCGGCGGTGTATGATGTGTGCGCGAAGAATCTGAAAATTCGACAACAATGGAATTTTAACAACAACTCTCGAAATCGTTTTGGAACGCGGAGCGGAAGGAAATGGCCATTAGCGGAGCGTGAAACAGGTGGTGAGGAGGGATATGGCTGTAGAAGAGATAGGGGGAAGTAATAAAGTTAGTGTGTGAGAGAGAGAGAGGGGAAACGTGGAAATATGACGAACTGTTCGAATAGGGAGACGAGTGAAATTTCAATGACCATATCGGTGTCGGTCTAAAAGAAACATTACAAGTGTATAGGGCTTTAGTATATTCGTTTTTAAAATAATAGGAAAACTGTTAAAATATTCAAATTGTATTAAATGAGAAATACGTTTTTTATTCAACAAGTCTTGTTACGAAATATACAGGGTGTTTCAAAAAACATGTGAATGTGTAAACAAGATTTATTTTTCATATTGACATAGGCTTGATTCTGGTTTGTTTCGTAGCTACAAGTAGTTAAAGGCTTCATCTTTTTTCAATTATTATTTTCTTCCAAGTGCTTTTAATGATTCGAATGAAATTTTAAGGGTAAAAGTTACTTTAAATGCGACATATTTTAATACTAAAAAATATGTCGACAGGTTCACCAGGGACGTGAACATATCTTATAACTGGAATATGTTTCTAAAAAAAACATGTGCTCCACTGACATTCTTCCTCTCATTAGTCAAATTGTGTAGGCCATTTAATGCCGATTAAAAGTTGCATCTTGATATTTTGTCCATTTCGGTCTCCTCGATAATATAAACCATTTTATAATTTTATTTTATTAATTGTGATATTATTAAGTCACAATAATTAATAAAATTAAATTAAAAATAAAATATTTATTTAATCTAATTTATTAAATTTTATTAAAATTGAAAGCACTGATGTGTACAGTGCTACCTACACTAAAAATCTATACCTACAGCAAATTCCTCCCAAAAATAATGGTATTTAAGATTATTACAAAATGCCTATTTTTTTAAAGTTTTTACATCCTGTAACTTTAAAACTATGAAAATTAAAAACTATTTCGACACCTATGTTTACAGGAATTTTTTTAATTATTTTTTAATGTGGAATCAGTGAGTATTGATTAAACATTTTGGCAAGTTAATGACATTAACATTTTTTAAACGTTAATTGCTATAGTAATCGCAAAACAATTTCCGATGCACGTGATTAACTTCGAGTGACAAGCGATGGTGACAGAGCTGCCAGATTGTGATGGATTTATGAAATGAATCTTAATAATTTAAAAGCGACAAACGATATATTTATTATATCATTCTTAAAGATTTTTACGTTTTATTTTTAATTTAATAATTAATTGATTTATTTGTTTTATAACTTTTTTACTTATTACATATTGGCAAAAACTAGTCCATTATGAAGATTATTCTAAGCGTTATAATGGGTTATTTATTTATTTATCGATGTATATCTTACAAGGCCATAAATGGTAATAACATGTAAGAGGATGCTATTAATGCAAAAACTAATAATCACAAAATTTAATAAAAACTAACGTAGAAATAACTTTGAAAGTGGTGTAATGTGCTTATCAATCAAACTTACATCTCTGACTGCAGGATAATAAAGGACCTTGATTGTCACGTTCTCGTTCAAAATAGTTTATCAGGGAAGGTACAAGCTACAAGCTCTTTGCTTCGACTGTTTAAATGAAATTAAAAGTTTAAAAAAAAGTTTAAAGAGTTAAAAAACTCGAAAATTTAGGTTTTAAAAGAACTGTTTGTGCTTAAAAGTACAATTTAAAAAAGACTATGAAAATAAGCAAAAAACAAGAATTACTCACAAAGATTCAACAACAAAACGATATTATAAAAAATAATGACTGACATTAGGATAATTGTCAAATAATAAACGACAACCTTGCTGAAAACAGCCCAATGTTACCAACATAGCGATAATAAAATTCGATTTAAACTAATTTTTGCACCTTTAATCTAAATAAAATATCTGTTACAATAATTTGCTCTATAAAGTAAAATGAAGAGCTGCTCGGTATCTTAAATTTTTGCCAAAATTTCATTTAGTCAGGTTTATGGGCTTTATTGTCAATGTCGATATGATTGATAAAATGCATCGGAAAATGTTTTGCGATTACAATATTAGAATTGTTTTAAGGCAAATTAACTATATAGCGGTTATTTCAGCAAGGAAACTAAAATGTTGAAGGGACAACTTTTAATCAGCAACGGTCTACACAATTTTGCTAATAAGATGAAAAAAAGTCTGTGGCGCATATATTTTTTTAGAAAAATATTCCAGTGATAACCCATGTTCACGTCCCTGGTGAACCTGTCGACACATTTTTTAACATTAAAATATATCGCATTTAAAGTCACTTTTGCCGTTAAAATTTCATTCGAATCACTAAAAGCACTTGGAAGAAAATAATAATAAATTGAAAAAAGATGAAGACTTTAACTTCCTGTAGCTACGAAAACAAAGCAGAATCAGACCTATGTCAATATGAAAAATAAATCTTATTATTACGAGATGAATCTCCCCACGAGAGATAGCACATGTTTTTTGAAACACCTTGTTTACATACAGGAATTTTTTTGGAAATACTTTGCACGGGAAATTAATTTTAAGATGTATAATATTTCACCAAAACACTTGCTAAAACTACACAATAATAATAGGTCAGTCAAGTTTGCCCCCCGTATTAGAGGAAAATCAAAAATAAATATACCACTATTTTGCACACATTTTGCACAATTTTGCACACTATAAATGATATTTTGCACACTTACCTAAGAGAAACCAGGGCCGTTTTTTTAAACGGGGGGCAAACTTGACCGTTCCCCCCCATTTGTTAAGAAATTGATTTATTTCTATGTACATCGATTCGGCTAATTTTGCACAATTTTGCACACTGTTTTGAATTTTGCACACTTTCTGACGAAAGTTATAAGCGGTTGAAAATTTGAAATTTCCCCCATCTGTGACTAAATTGAATTTTGTTTGTATCAAACGAATCGGCTAATTTTGCACAATTTTGGACACCTGTTTTTGAATTTTGCACACCATTCTGATTAAAGTTATGAAGGTTTGAAAATTTTCAATTCCCCCCCCCCTCATCTGTCCCGAAATTGAATTTTGTGTATATCAGACGAATCGGCTAATTTTGCACAATTTTGCACACCTGTTTTTGAATTTTGCACACCATCCTGATTAAAGTTATGAAGGTTTGAAAATTTGCAATTTCCCCCCCATCTGTCACGAAATTGAATTTTGTCTATATCAAACGAATCGGCTAATTTTGCACAATTTTGTACAGCTATTTTCGAATTTTGCACACTCTCCTGACAAAAGTTATAAGAGTTTGAATATTTGAAATTTGTCCCATTGTGTGTGAAATGTCCCACTTAAAAATACATATGTATGAGTCATATTTCGAAAATGATAGATCTCAGCGACGTGAAAAGCTGCACGAAACTTAGATTTCACCTTTTCAATAATTTATAGCTTGCATAGAAGAACATTTATGAAACTAAAGCTTCTACACACAGATTTGTCCTAGCCCTCTTACTTCCTGAAATGCCTGGCAAATTTGAAAATTTTGCATTTTTCCACAACCCTCATATCTCGGTTATCCTATAACTTATCGAAAAGGTGAAGTCTGGGTTCCGTACAGTTTTCCACGTCGCGTCGCTGAGATCTGTCATTTTCAAATATGACTCATACATTTTTTAAATGAGACAATTCACACACAATGGGACAAATTTCAAATATTCAATCCCTTTTAACTTTTGTCAGAGGAGTGTGCAAAATTCGAAAGTAGCTGTGCAAAATTGTGTAAAATTAGCCGATTCGTTTGATATAAACAAAAGTCAATTTCGTAGCAGATGGGGGGGAAATTGCAAACTTTCAAAACCTCATAACTTTCGTCAGGAAGGTGTGCAAAATTGTGCAAAATTAGCTGATGCGTTTGATATAAACAAAATTCAATTTCGTAGCAGATAGGGGGGAAATTGCAAACTTTCAAAACCTCATAACTTTCGTCAGGAAGGTGTGCAAAATTGTGCAAAATTAGCTGATGCGTTTGATATAAACAAAATTCAATTTCTTAGCAGATGGGGGGAAATTGCAAATTTTCAAACCCTCATAACTTTCGTCAGGAAGGTGTGCAAAATTGTGCAAAATTAGCTGATGCGTTTGATATAAACAAAATTCAATTTCTTAGCAGATGGGGGAAATTGCAAATTTTCAAACCCTCATAACTTTCGTCAGGAAGGTGTGCAAAATTCTAAAATAGGTGTGCAAAATTGTGCAAAATTAGCCGACTCGTTTGATATAAACGAAATTCAATTTCGTAGCAGATTGGGGGTGAAATTGCAAATTTTCAAACCCGCATAACTTTAATCAGGAGAATGTGCAAAATTCAAAAACAGGTGTGCAAAATTGTGCAAAATTAGCCCATTCGTTTGATATAAACAAAATTCAATTTAGTCACAGATGGGGGGGAAATTTCAAATTTTCAACCCCTTATAACTTCCGTCAGGAGGGTGTGCAAAATTTAAAAATAGGTGTGCAAAATTGTGCAAAATTAGCCGAATCGATGTACATAGAAATAAATCAATTTCGTAACAAATGGGGGGGAACGGTCAAGTTTGCCCCCCGTTTAAAAAACGGCTCTAGTTTCTCTTAGGTAAATGTGCAAAATATTATTTATGGTGTGCAAAATTGTGCAAAATGTGTGCAAAATAGTGGTATATCTCTTTTTGAATTTCCTCTAGTACGGGGGGCAAACTTGACCGACCTAATAATAATTAATTCAGAAACTTTTCTAATAGTGCCACTAATGACGCGGAGGGCTCATCCTTAGATGCGGGAACTCTATAAAACATTCGAACTAATTGCAAAATAATCAAAACAACGCTAAATTTTCTGATACTTAATAGGTTTAATAGAATTTTAATAACCTGCATACATAATTAATTTTTACAGTTAATAGACACAAACAATTGATTGAAACATTTGAAGGATATAACGTATTATAAGAATGTAC